CTCGGAAAATGGGCATATGGCTCATAATGGTGAGCAGGAGTTGACGTAAGGATTTTTCGACGTAGGCCTAGGCCTATGTGAGCCTAGCCTAAGCCTAAGGCCTAACTCATCGCGTCTATATTGACTGAACAAAAAGATCGGCCTGTACGATGTTTTAATATAAATAAATATGTTCATAATAGTCGGTTTGTAACAAATCTGCCTTTCGGAGAATTCTGAAGAACGTTTTACGTTTACTACCTATTCCAAATATAGTCAGGTTTCCTATAATAATTAATATAGGCCTAGGCGGCCTAGTAGTAGTAGGCCTAGCCTAAGTACTACTTAGTTACTACTACTACTAGGCCAGAAGTGACTCACCGTTTCATTGTCGTACAAAACTGCTCCTCTGCTGAGTTTATAGCACCATAGAATCGTTCACCAGTGGTCATCGCTTTCTTCAAATGTTTTGGCTCCCAAACATCGGAGAACTGCATTAGAGTCGGTTCGACTTAATTGTCAACATTTTCACATGTTTAGAAATCGTTTGTTTTGCTGTCACGCTGTCTCTAGATAGCCTCGTTTTCAGTCGCGGTTACGATTGCTTCCGTGCGGAATTGCGTTTGTAAACTTCGAAACGCGTCAAAATCGACCTATAGTAACCACACAATATTTTCGTGCTTGAGCGGTTTTTTGCGTTGCTTGAGTCTAGAAAATGCGTCATATATCGTCATTTCGCGTTTTCAGACTAACAAAAAACACCAAAAAACGAAATTTCGAAAAATAACAAATAACAAAAAAATTGACGCGGGCCCAAAAATCGATGCGCGCGGGGACGGGAAACAAGTAATTTTTGTTACTTGGCCTAATACAAAACTATTAATTGTGATAAAAACTGGCCTTTCTAAATATTAGTAAATAAATTGCTTGCAGTGAACACTGAACACCACTACCCTGGGTTGGTGATAAGTGGTGTTATGTCCCAGTTTCACTCTGACCTTTGAGTAATAGAATGGTCTTAACTCTGTCAATCTTTATATCATTGTATCTTGCAGCATTGGTTAGATCCAACAAAGCCACTCAAAAAACAATTAAAAAGTAAGTGATATTTGTTTATACACTTATGTTTTGATTAATTAAATTATTATAATTTTCTGGAATTGTTTGTTTAGATTGTGAATAGTTTAAATGTTATCCATTTCTAAAATATTTGTAAATTCTTAATGTGGATTCATCATTTGAATTTTGTCTGTTTCAGTTGGCCCTCCATACACCCTAAGATTCCGAGTCAAATTTTATTCATCAGAGCCAACAAATCTACATGAAGAATTAACAAGGTAAGTTGATTGTGAAAGTATAGTTCAAAATCTGAATGAATGAATAAATATATTTATCTGATGAAGTTGTATAAATTATATAGTTTCAAATAAAACAAAAATATAGCTAGCAACTCCAAAATCTGACAGACATTTTGAGAATTTAAAATTTTGATCTGTTTGATTATTCTTGATTATTTGAAATTCATTAAGTCCTGTCAGGTCTATATATTGGACTGGACAGAAACATTTGTCATGCCTAAATAAGGTCACGATGACATCACACAGGACCATATATAGGCACACCATGACTATATATGGGCATATAGCAGAAAATGTGATAGTCTGGACAAAGCTTTACACAAAACCTTGCAAGCTACCCCCTCACCAAAGATAAATGGAATGGGAAATTGTCGTACTTGACCTAGTCTGCTTTTCCTATTTGTTATTGTATTGTAAACAAAGGTGATAAAGTAAAGCCTAGCTACATGCTTAATAATGGAGATGGTTGCTTGCATAATCTTTTTATCCTCCTACTTCTGGGAGACTGGCAGCTTTGGAATTCTTCAGGCAACATCTGCTAGAGCTAGACCAATCCCATCTCATTCAATATTTCGAAGGGCAGTTATCACACATCAACATTCTATGATGTCTATTAAAAAGTCCATTGTTGTCTACATCTGACATCACATCATTAATATTCACATTTTAAATAGTATAAAGCTATAGACATTATAAAACCTGTAAAACGGCACAATAGTACAATGATTGCCTTTAGGAATTCCACTTCGTTTTGTTTGTATTTTATATTTCTGTGTTATCTGATTGTCTACAGTATTATGACACTTAGTACTGTGTCCTGTTCATGAACAATATACAAATTATTTTGATTTAAGATTTTATATTTTTGATAACTAATTAAATTAAAGCCTATTTTATTAATATTTCTATGTTTTTGTTTGTTAAATTTTCCCCTTTTTTTTGTTTTTGTTTGTACGAACGCACCAATTGATATTGAGTGCCACCGATTCAAAGGTGTATGTTCAAATAAATAAAATAAAAAAACTGCTTAGTTATTTAATTTTGTTAGTTTATGAATTTTAAATGCTTCATTTTCCACTGTAATTACATTTTGTTTTAGCTTTCATGAATTTAAAATCAGTTGCAATTAAACTAAAAGGCTAGAGATATTTTAGTAAACATATGGTAAACTTAGAGCGATGGTATTAATATTTGTGATCTTTTTTTACACTATTCTTTAGATATTTCTTTTTTCTGCAACTAAAAAATGACATCTTAGAAGGCAGGCTAGTTCCACCATATGAGACTGCTGTGGAGCTTGCTGCATATGCTGTGCAATGTAAGTATTTTACTTTTATAGATAATTTCCATTTTAAGCAAGAAAAAGTACACACCATTAAATATTTAAAGTTTTTTGGTTATTTATTAGCTTTAAATTGAAATTATAAAAAAGAAAATAATTGCAAATTCTTTGGATGGATTTCCCTAAGTTGTCATCAATTTATCACAGTACTTGGAGAACAACCATTTTTATTTTATGGTATCATTGAAAGTACTTAATTGTGTAGTAAAGGGAGGAAATTAACGAGAGAAGAGCAATATTCCCTCGCAGCGATGATGTCATTATTATGATTATTGATACCTAGAAATATCAAATTCAAAGCGGCAAAGTAATGCTGACAGCTACTGAACCGGCTAGGATTTCACATCACGTAAAAAAATGAACAGATCTCCAATGTTGCCAAATTTAAGGTGAATAAACCAATTACTGACAGTCCAACAGATATTGTTATCATTACCAAAAATAGTGAATAGAACGTGAATATGTCGACAATTGTCCTCAGGCCAAGCTCACCTCCAACTGGAGCTGTTTTCAGGGGTTTTGTTAATGCGTGTTCTTGATCTCTATGCTGAACTAGATAGGGAAATCGGAAAGACTTTTGATCTAAGGCTTGGTGGCCTTAACCATTGTGTGGTGTTTTTTTTTGTTAACAAAAAAAAGATAAGTATTGACATTCCGATGGTATTCATCATTGGTACAGGTTAAGGGAGACCTGTGGTCAACTGAGGAGGTATTTACCAATTCAAGAATGGCAGACTTATTGTATGCTCTAAAAAAGGGATTTAGTAGAAAGGTCATATGTATTTCAATCAATTGACTATATTTGCAGTGACCCTATGTTGAAAATAGTTTAGTAATGTATAATCCTATGAATGTGATATTATTTCTTTAATGTTAAAGTTATATATGAAACTTTATATCAATGAAAATCAAAGGTAGGAATTTGCTTTAGAGAATCCATTTCAGCTAGTTTCAAGTCCCTGTCCTCCTTAAGTTTTGGAGCCTTATGAAAAAATGTACTAATTCGCTATTTTTAAAAGAAAACAATTAATTTTTCCATGGGAAAATGTATATAATGATGATATAAAAGATTGTTGTTAAAGTTAAAGAAGAGGTAGGAACATGTATAGCAGAAATATATACCAAGAGTCACTTTCAATACTTCTTTTATTTAAAAAAAAAAATCAAACAAACAAAAAAAAACCAATTTATTATTACCACCATGTTTACCATTAATATATAAAATAGTATTAGTAGCAAATGGTAAATACCTTCACCAAAAAATAATTTAAAATTCCAGACGTAAAACTAACAATTAATTTTACTTGGCTTTAGTGCTTATTTATATTCTTTAAAAAAAGCAACCTTGGCTGTTGTTATGCAGATAAAAATGCATTTGAATTGTAAATCTGTTGAGTATTCAGGTCATATATTCTGTAGACAGGAATATTTAGAAGCAAACAATAAAAAATAGAAATCCTAGCAAAACCTGAATTGTATAGTACAATTAAATAGACTTAATGTTAATATAGTATGGAATAGGATGATAGTAAGAGTGGTACTATTGATTGGAATATTATATAATATAGTACTTTTGAATAGTTTTACTATTACTAATTACAGTAAATGCTTTATACCTAAAATATTAATCGAATGTAGTCGAGTAGCTGTATCACTAAACACACGAATGTACTTTTATGATTAAGGATATGATTATACTCGCCCTCTAAATGAGTAAAATGTTGTTGGTCAAGGAAGTCCTACATACCAATTCCTAAAATTTTCAGTAATATTATTTTGTAGTTTTGTTCTATTAAATGGTAGTACTATTGAATACAGCAAATCATAGCCAGATCTGTCTAATATAGCTACTGTAGGCTGTTGGACAAAGAAATTATTTCAAATACGTCTAAAATGAGGTCAATCAACCCATAACCGCCAATACACCATGATCAGTATTAAGTAGAACTAATTTAAAAAAGTGATTAAGAAAACATGTAATACTAATAGTATGACCCTTTACTTACTCTTGAGTTACAAACATCTACATTAGGCCTATGCAAGTTTTGCCATCTGTCGGAGTTAAGACATTAATTTTTAAATGTAATTTGATTTTTTTTTTTTTTTATCTAGTACCAAAGACAAAATTACTATTATTAGTCCTGCCGTAGTCACAAAACTGTTAATTCATGAATGATTTTGTACAATGTGTATGATGATAGAAATGTGTATATCATGTGTAAATAAATAATAACCTTATTTATGTGTGATGTGATGTTTAGATGGGGTAAATTTTGAAATATGTTTAAATGTATTTTATTACCATAGAGTATTAGTATTCAACTTGCTTCATAATCAAACCACCTGGCTGTCATGTATGCTGTTTAAATTATAAACATGAATGTGTTATTGCACATGCCAAACAATAGCAAGTATTGTGAAAATCTATGCAGTTCTCTTTCTGCTACAGTAGTAATTTCCATGTTTTCCTTTAGTGTCATATCTGGTTGGTAGCCATATTTGTTCAATAAAAACAGACCTAGGCTGAATCAATAAAGGATCAGTACCTAATAAGATTTATTTACTGAATATTGATTGATTGTTACATGTTTGTTTTTAGTATTTCATCATGACTTCATTTTCTTGATTATAACATGTAAAATGTTATGAAATAAATGTTATGTATTCTCATAGGTAACTCATTTACTATTCATTTTTGTGATTTTCCAACAGCTGAACTAGGTGATTACGAGGATGATATGCACAATGCGGAACTGGTGTCGGAGTTCCGTTTTTGTACCAATCAGAGCGAGACTATGGAGGAGGACATTCTAGAAAAATTCAAAACTCTAAAGTATGTGGATGATTTGCATTTACAATACAGTACCCCATTACAAAAAATGTTTTTATTTTGATCAAATTGTAATGTATAACAAGTTGGTCTTTTTGTGTTAGTACATTTCCATGGAACTCTAGCCTGTGGCATACAGTGTTCTTAAAAGTCTAAGTTATTTTCGACTGAAGGTGGGACAGTACAATACTTTATTTTGGAGGGCCTATGCTGATTATATTTGTAGGTGACATGATGATAGTTGTGACGGTGATGATAGTGATGTTGTTAATCATAGTGTTAAAAACTAGGATGAAAGTGGTGGTTGTTGTGGCAGTGGTAGGGATGGTGGTAATAGTAAGGACTGCAGTAGTGACATGGGAAATGATAATTGTGGTGGTTTTGCTGGTGGTGGTGGTGGTGGTAATCCGGTGGTGGTGGTAATCCGGTGGTGGTGGTAATGATGATATCAGAGGTATCAACATTGATAATGATGATAAATTATATACATGATAACTAGAACTAAAGTACATACAGTATCATGTTATTTGATTCAATTAGAACCCTTACAATATACAGTTGGTACATAACAATAGAAACAGTACAGGCAGATAAACAACACATGCTAAGTTTATAGACAATGAATCCATGTTTTAGTTGATAACATATGGCATGGAAGTATAAGATTGATTGCTTTTCAAGGACCAGTGAATTTAAATGATTGTCAAGCATGATGTAGATCATCCGGCTCATAAAGGAAGCCAGCAATTTAGTTAGCAACAAATTCAATCATGGAATTTCTTGTTTATAATTAAAAACATCCAGCTAGACAGGTTGTCATTAGTTAGCAAGTTCAATGATAGAACTCCTTGTCTGTAATTAAAACATCCAGGAATTAATTTTTTTTTTCCTTTATCGCTTTCTGTTTAGGTGACCCTCCATTTTTAGGTAGTTAAGAAATGACCAGTGTTAATGCTTTTATATCAAAGCAATTAATATCAGAAAGCTTACAATGCTAATTTTAGACTAAGCAGTATAATTTGCCTTCAAACATTTCTGTTGTCGTTCACTTGTCCTACCATATCCTGAGAAGCTCTTTAAAATTTGGAGGACAAAGAACATTAATCATAATGTTTTAATTTCAAATCACATTAAAATTTTGAATTACATTTTTTAAGTAATTTTTACATGCCTAATCAAACGCAATTCTCATAAGTAAGTATAAGCAAGACTTAAATTGTGCTCATATAATATATTCCCCTTGGTGACCAAAAACCATAGCAGTACAGTACTGTATGTTGATTGATTTATAAATTTGACATAAAAACCCACAATGAGGCTTCAAATTTATTAGGTTAAATTTTAATCACCACGAAAGGAACTGGGTTTACACTGTACGTGATTTACAATGAATTTGTAGGTAGGCCTATATTATAAGTGAAAACATTCTTTAAAGAAGAAAGTATGATATGAACAATGCTAGCAAAGCTGTGGATACTACAGTACTGTACAGTACCTCCTACATTACTACATAGATGATATAATTAAATGTCTTACCTTTAACACATACCTAAGATCAAATGGAAGAAAATGCAGTTAAATGCAGGTTGGGGAGGTGCATATCTACCAAGTCTGGTGCATCTGGCTTGAGCCTCACACTTTTCAACCAAACCTCAAGCCACTCTAAAATCTCACACTTTTCCAGTAATCTCAATCTTTATTTTATTAAACCCAAACTTTTTATCAAAATACTCGAAACCTTTGCAATTTTATAGTTCATCACGCCTAGAATCATTGAAAATTCTATAGTTCCTATTCTAGCTACAAATTTTTAAGGTTTAATTTGAAAACTAGACATCTATTTAGAGTGCACCAGAGAGCATTCAAGCCTTAAAAAAAAAAAAATTGACCCACGCAATTGGGTTTATTTCCTGTTAAATCTCAAGCCACTAGCTACCTCCAACTTGGCATGTATGCAGATGGGCGGGTGGTTACATTAAAAGTTACATTATTACATTCTGATAATACCATTAAGCATTTCATTTTTGTTTTATATTTTTTTCCTTTAAGTAGTTAGTTAATGCATTTGACATTAGAATTGACAAGGGGCTGGGAATATAAGTAAATCAACTTCTGTAACTGTACTAGGAGCTGAAATGACTGCCAGTTGATGCTGGATGGAATTAGACATTTTATAGCCATCTTGAGACATGTGATTAACAACCTTCTGTGAGAAACCTAGCTCAATGGTGTACAAAATGAAAAGCACCTGTTCACATTGTTTAGAAAATTGTTAATGCGCAGAAAAAGAAAAAAACAAAAGAAATGTAGACTTTTCCATTTAATGATATACTGCTACCCAAAACAGATCAAGGAAGGATAACCTCAAAAATTAAAGTAAAACTCTGAATTGCTTTCAATAAGTCACAGATAAAAAAATTCAAGTGTTGATCTTTAATGGTGTAAGCTTGGTTTCCATCGAATCGCTACACACTATTGCTGACAGATTTCAGTGATGCTGATTGGTCAGTCGAAGCAGGGAGCCTTCCTGATTGCATCGGGACTGTTACACAGAACGATTACACTAAAAAACACTGTAGCGACACTGTAGTGATTTTAAGGAAACCAGCTTTTACAGACATTAACTATAAAATCCTTCAATTTGCTGGCAGAAGTTTTATGTTCAAGGCATTTATTCTTGCTTTCAGTTTACATGAAAAACCTAAAGGAATTATGATGATGATGATGATGGTAACTTTATACTTTAGCTACATCTAAACCTGTCCTCCCACTCAACCATCCTTCAACACTCCTGTATAATATATTTACCATCATTATTTTTTCTATCCTCACAATTTCCTTTAACTAAACTAAATCACACTACCCCTTTCACACCCCATAGCCCCTCTAGCCTTCCATCTGATATGACCATTCATTTAATCCATCCTTTCATTCATTGAGAGAGATCAAGTTTTGCATTTATATTATTTTAAAGGTTGATATAGAACCTAGGGTATAGAATTAAGTAAAGTTTCCCATGTCTCTTTGTAATATTCTTTAGAATTTAAGGTGATCCCTAAATGACATTGACTTTAAACCTGAAGCCCTATTGAGCACCTAGTGGGCCTGATTACATCACTTGGTATCAGAACATAAAAGGAGAAATAATGTACACACCGTCTGAAATAAGATCATCCCTGGCCATGTTGTGGTAGTGACGTTAACGATAAGTGTTTGAGTTCACTGTTCAACCCTATCAACATTTGGATGTTGCATTCCATTGAAATCCATATACCATATTGTGGCAGTGATGCCGGTAATGACAGTGGACATTACAAAAGAGATGATGATGATGATGATGATGATGATGATTTTGACAAATGATGACACTGATAAAATGGTGATGATAATGATGACGTTGATTAGTGATAAGGATTATCATTGATGATGATGATGATGATGATGATGGTAATGAATAAGGTTGACAACAACATTAATTTTCCCCAATGCTCTGGCCCAATTGTCCATTTTTAACACATCAATTTAAATGCTGTCTAGTTTTCTCTATTTCTATTGGTAGTATATGTTCAACATGTTTTAAGGGGTGCTACTGTACTTGTGAATGTAGTTTTATGTGCACAGAGCATTTCTATTGTGAGATTTGTAGATGCATGGAGGAATACATTTGGTAAATGTATGCTTGTTTATATCGGGGTCATCATGATCAATATCAGACTATTCTGACCTTCGTACTTAATTACTTTAATTTATGCTTCCTACGTTTGTTTAATTAGTTTACAATATATGAACATATGTACAGTAATGTTTTAAATGGCCTTATTGAGAAAAAAAAATCTTTCTTTTTCCTATATTATAAATATTACATTTTAAAATTGTTCAAATGCTCTTTAAAACTAAATTTTTAAATGAAAAAAGCAGGTATATATGTATTTAAATTTTTGCTGAAGTCATTTAATTTTGTGTTTTTATCTCACAGAGGTCAGACACCAGCTGATGCTGAGCGAAACTACTTGAACAAAGCAAAGTGGTTGGAGATGTATGGTGTTGATATGCATAGGGTCATGGTAAGCCAATGATTGTACATTTGTTTTGTCATCAACAGTACATATGTGGAGCTATTTTTCTGAACATACTTAATATACTACATTCTATAGGGAAAACTTGAAGGTCATAAGATTTGTGATTACAATATAAACAAGGAGTAAAGTAATTCAGTTGCTATCATAATGTATGCATAATATATCTATATTACATATTGCCTTATGAACTTGCATTTATATAAACAAACAAATCGAGAGTGCAATTAACATTGCAATCTAGCGAAGTTTCATTTCTCTTGTTATGCCATTGATGCGTTCTCTTTGTTGTTTTATTAGATACATAATGTTTTAAAGAAACTTTTCTAACTAGATGTACTATAAATTAGAAAAATGTGTATTGAAAATATGTTATTTCTTAACACAAAGGGTAAGGACAACAATGAGTATGGTCTTGGTCTTACTCCAACTGGTATACTTGTATTTGAGGGCAAGAACAAGATTGGCTTGTTTTTCTGGCCGCGAGTTGAGAGGTTGGATTTCAAGGGAAAGAAACTCCATCTGGTTGTCATGGAGGATGATGACAAGGTACACTACAATCATTTGTTTACTTTTAAATTACACGTTATGACGACTTTGAATAGCAAGATGTGTATATAGATTTCGCTCGATGGTATCATCTTGGTTGTTAGTCTAGACACGTTACGCTACCTCTCGCTATAAATAACGAGCAGATAAAATAAATCAAGTGGGTGGTTTTCGTATTAATTTCAATCAGTCAATCAAACAATTAACTTAAGCGATATGCAAATGGCTAGTCCTTTCTGGCCCATAACCAAAATTCCTTAAGGGGAACTTTCTATGAGAGTAAGATGTTAAAACAGCACTTAAACCCCCAGGGGCTGAATTATTCTAGCATCGAAATTGTGAATTTTATCGATAATTTTGATAGTTTTTTATATAACTGTTCATGTTTGGTTTATCAGTAAAGGATTCACTCTAAAGGTTTTGCTTTGTAATGGCTTCACCACTTGTACAATAGTTCAAGTGAACATTCAAATGGGTGAGACAAATAGGAGCAAAAAGGATAGCACAGTAAAATATTAATATTTTTTTCGCTTGCAGGGTAATGAGCAGTCCCACACATTTGTGTTCAAGCTTCAAAGTAGCAAGGCATGTAAGCATTTATGGAAATGTGCCGTATCGCATCATTCATTCTTCCGGTTAAAGGGAGTTCCTAAACATAGAACAGAAAAGTCCGGATTCATCAGGATGGGCTCACGATTTAACTACAGGTAAAAATTTTATATTAGAAATTTGACAGCAAAAAAAAAATAAACAACCATCTTTTTTTTTAGAGCAGCATGGTGTTGCCTTGTGAGAACAAGTTTTTATTTATTTACATAAAAACCAAGGATCCCCGATAGCAAAAATTTATTTTCTCCTCCATAGGTAGTAATCGCTTTCACAGGGCAAACATATACACATTATTTTCTACATTAAATAACATCTCATTATGAGGCTAAATTAGTAGAGCTGTTTCGATTGTGGGGGGAAAATCCTGTTTTCTTTACAGGACCCTGGGATTGGAAGGCAGGCATCTTAACCACTAATATAAAGTTTGAATATTATTATAGAATAGTTTATATAAAGATAATAGCATAGTTGTAGGATATAATTGACTGCATTTTAAAAATTTCAGTTCAAACTTCATTTTCTCCAATATGCCATCAACGGCCATTTAATTTTGTAGTTTCACTTAATATACCATCATGATATAGGGATTGGTATTATCAAGATTGTTTTCACTCTATTTGTTCATTTTTGGTTAATAATAATGCAGAAGTAAAACATACCTTTATTCCCATTGTTAGTTACCACAGGTTGTCTGTAGATTCTCAAAGATTGTGCAAACCTCTGCTTGCCAGTAGTCTCAAATTGCAGGAAAACGGTGCGGTGATGTTGGTTCCCCTGCAATAGTCTGTTTCTGATGTTTTTTATTTTTAGGTCGCTTGGTTAGACTTTAGGATTTAGTTTTTAGTTTGTTTCTTTTGTGTAACTTATAGCGCATAGAGACCATGTAGTATGCGCTTTACAAGTCCCAAACCATTACCATTACCATTAATATATTAACGATATATATTTTGCACTTGTACATTACGTATTTTCTATTATTCAGTGGCAGAACAGAATTCCAGTCTGCTAAAGCCAACAAGTTAAGACGCTCCTCCACTTTTGAAAGGAGACCAAGTCAGAGGTTCTCAAGACGGCCATCTTATGCTCAGAAACGAGGTATTTATACTCTGATTTCTCTCTTCATGCTTTAAAAACATCATTCTTTCAAGCGATTATGAGAAATTCGTTCCACTTGAGTAAAGCACAACGTAACCATGAAATAGAAAATCCATTATTTTTAATGTCAATTTAATCTCCTAAATATAGCAATTTCACTAGTTTTAATTATTGCTTCTTTGATAATTAGAAAAAAAACCCTATATTTTTAAATAGCTGATACTAAATTGTATGTTTGTTATTAATTTGATATGTTAATTTATTGGATGTTTTCTTTTATCTTCACAGCTGCGGCCGCATCTAGCGTTGCTGCCAACGCCATCGCAATTTCCCAGCAGCGCCAGGCAGCCCGAGCAGCAGCGGCAAAAGCCGCAGGTTCTCCACCTGTAACGAAAAGCAGTACACTGTAAGTAGCCGCTTTTGTCTTATTCTTTGTGATGCAAGAATTAAAAAAACAGGATGTTGACATTTTGTTATGATTGTGGCAAGTTTGCTTTAACTCTTCGCAAGAATCATTCTACAAACCGTTTGTTTTATTTTTTAGGCCTCGAGTTACAGTCGCAGCAGCGGTGTCACCATTAAGCTCAGGTGTTACGACAACGTTTATGACGCCAGCAAGGAAATCGCCAGCCACTTCACCGACCCAGATACCTATATCTTCTGCATCTCCAACCTCAACATCATCGCATGTTGTTGACGGTACGCCTCCACCGCCTCCCGACTCATCTTCCAACAGCCCAAGGCTCTTTGAAATAAACGTGGACACGGGCTCCAAAACCCCAGTCACCCCAGACTCTATTACAATACGTACTTCGAAACCAATATTAGTGGGTGATTCGGTCAAGGTGGAAAGTATAAAAGTGGATAACTACAAAATGAATGGAGAAATATCAGCCACAGGTGCTGGCCTTTTAAGTACGTTGGGCCATGCTTGCACCTATCCTTACATCCTCCTCACTGTCACTCACTCTTTCCTCTTCACTCTCATCTTTCCATCTTGAAAGCAGCTATGCAGAATCTTGGAAGTGGATTTGTTAACATATGCTACTTAATTGAAATAACCAATATATATTCTATTATCTGCATGCTTATAATTTAATTGGTTAGTTAGTTGTAATAATTAATGTAAAGTGAATAAATCTTTTGATACCAAGGGATTGCTATGATAAACTTTAAGCAAAAGAGGGAAAAATAAAAAATTAATTATTACAATATAAAATATGATTATTACATTTACAAAAATTGATAACTTAAAATATAATTGTTTTTCATAAATGGACGCTTTATGCATAAATATTAACAGAAATATGCGATTGCCTTTGAGCTTACCACCCTAAGAAGAGAGTTGTTATAATTTAAGTATATATTATATAGCATAATTAATTAATGATAATTTTGTCAATATATAGAAATATAATAATTATGATAATATAATTATTAAAATAATATAAAATACTAATGATAAAAAATATTAATAATACCAATAATAACATTGTGTTACATTTTACTAGTTATGTGATTATAATAATTTTAAAGAAAAAATAATATATACAATTTGTATATGATTAGTTCTTTATGTATTTTAATTTATTAATATTTACTTGCTGGCTATTCTAATCATACATTTCATTAGCTTAGCTGTCATAATATTGAGCTTAGCGCATAATTTATAATTAAACTGATTGGTTTCTTGTCCTTCAGAAACCAAACATTTTTACATTAATTGATTGTTTAACACCTCATGTCGTTGCCTGATGCAGCATTGGATGTCACATTTGAAAAGTGTATTAAAATTTCATGTGCTGTCAACACAATTAAAAGCTAAATTGCACATAAGGATGAAACATCTTTTCACAGTTCAGTAACAGCATTTGGGGAGGGGGGTTTCTTAAGCCCGATTCCTTAATTTAAAATAAAATTACAAATATGAATTTCAAAAACAGATATAAATATAATATAGTATAGAAATTATATACTAATAAATATTTACTTTAAAATTCTAATATAATTAGATATTATCATTTAATATATTCTAACATTTAGAGCCATGCAGTTAATTACATAAAGGTTGTATAATGCAATGGCATTGCTGTACACCAATCATTGCCCTATGAATATAGCATGCTGATCATACAGCTGCAGTATATAACCTTGTAGCCATTAATACTACATTGTATAGTGCTACATACTACATACTACATACATCAGGCTTTCTTCATTACATTTTTGTTATAACCCTTTTATACCTCACACTTTCTACTTGGTGGTTGTTCTCCAGACAATTCCACGAGTCCAAGATTCTGAATACGCTAATGAAGTACTCTTTGAACCTTTGTTGATTTGCATGTTAGCTATCATGTATATGCATATCTTGTTAAATGTTACCGTGATTGGATGTTAGATTTCATTGTTCTAAGTTTGTTGTTAGCATGCATGGTTTTATATATTCTAGTTCTAGTGTGGTTTTTATGAAATTCAGTTTATATGGGTACTTATAGATACTGCAGACATACAAACAGATGCATTAAACACACTCTCATGCTATGTCTTCACTGTTTATGTGACATTTATCTTTACAGGTATTTGTCATATAAAACCTAATAATGTGGACATAATTTACACATTCAGATATCCTGATGCACCAAAGCAACAAAACATATACAATTGAAATATTTATCCATGCTTACATTTACATATGCACATACTGCAAATAGGTATCCCAAGATATTTAGATGCAGATATATGTATAATACATAGATACACTCCAAATTTTCATGCAGATACACACATGCATCTGATAGATTACATTGACACATATACACCTGTATAGCGGAACAAACCTTCCTGCATACACCCTCCTTGCCCATCCCATTTCTTATACACATGTACACCTGTAGAGAGATACAAAACTCCCTACAGACACACATAACCATCTCATTAATTATACACATGTACACTTGTATGGGAAACAAACATCCCTATAGACACCATAAATGCATCCATGCAGATACAAACCTTCCTATAGACACACATAGGTATCTCATTACTTATACACATGTACACCTGTATGGGAAACAAACCTTCCTATAGACACCATCCATGCTGATGCAACCCTTCCTACAGACACCCTTCATAAATCCATGCAAATGCACACCTCACACATATACACTTTTGTATGGCAACACACCCTCTACATACACTACACCAATCTCGCATACACTTCACATTTCCACCCATTATTATACTGTTTATCCTTCTATTCTTGATCCCAGGTAAAGGTATCAATGGTGCATTCATGAGGCCCAAACCTTTGTCCAGATTATCAAATGTTCTTTGACAAAAAAACTGTTGTATGCCCATATATAGGCATTATGTGCCTATATATGGTCATGATGTGATGTCATCATGACCATATTTAGGCATGTCACATGTTTTTGTCAAATGAAAACTTGACAGTCTGAACAGGGCTTAAAAAAAAGCTGAAATTTGATCACCGACTAAAGCTTCATCCAAATGTTACAAATGCCTGCAAAATAAACACACAACTGTAATTGTAGGATGCACAGCTGTAAAGCAAAACTGATTACGCTGACACTTAATATAACTAATAGAGAATGCCACGCATTGCAAATGTTGGAAAACAAATATAGATACGAATGCTAAATTAATTAGCAACTAAACACTCCAACAAATGTTGCAAAATTCATAAAGTGCTTAAGCCATTCTGCGCCATGTAAAACATTGCTTCAACAATCAGATATTAACTTTGGTTATCTACAGACCGTGCGTGTCCTTTAGTAGTTAGCCATCTACATTCATCTTGCCCGTTATCATCCACATTAAATGTCATTCATAATAGAATTTTCATATTGTCCAAAACTTATTGACAGTTCCAAAACATCTAATTTTTTATTCATATTTAAAAGGTTGAAATAATATTTGTCATTTGACCTTTTTCAGTGCTGTAATTTGTCAAATTGGTTTATTTGCAGTACAGTGCATGTCAAATTCTAGATATATTCCAAATTATTACTTATATTTTTTAATTATATTGGCTCCTATAAAAATGATAATTTCATTTTCGTGTAATTTGAAAACTAATTCGATAGTATGTTTTGGAATTTGTCTCCTCGTATGAACATTACTTCTTCACATGTGAAGTCAATGCCTAAGGTACTATAAAAAGGACACCAGTATTTTTATAAAAAAGCGGTAAACAAAATTCAGAAGGGGTAAAACAAACAAGGATGAAAACAATGACGAACTGAATCCTGCCTGTGTTCAAAATACAAGGGTAAACAGCAACCAGCATGGGTGAAATATCTCAGAGGGGTGGATAGATGTGGGTAACAAACCAAACTACAGGGGATAGAGTTTTGCAAGGGCTAACCATAAACCTTTATTGGGAAAATATAGGAATGAGTTTTTTGTAAAGGGTTTTGATTTTAAGGTTTTTTATTACATTGAAATGATTTAGAAATGTTTATGTTAAGCTGCAAAGAATTTTTAGTTTGTGATTTTGCATGTTGCAAAAATTCCAAACAAATAGCCTGCAAGCACAATCATTTTGTTCTTGTGTAGCTTCAATTTACTTTGTTACTGGAATGGTATGCATACATTCTTAAATAAATTAGTGGGTTTTTTTCATTATCATTTTGTTAAAAATTACTGTAATATTTAGTTCAAGGCTTATTTATCTCATTGAATTTGTAGTAGAGTAAGTGCTTTATAAGGCTTGTTGTTATTCATATATTATTACTATTGTTAAAATTATTAATTTTTTTCTTATAATTATTAATATTATCTAATGGTATTGTTAGTAGTATATTTTTTTCATTGGTAATTATAATACAGTACTACTAAAGTTATTTTTTGAATTCTTTACCACATATAATCATTTAATTAAATCAATTTTTAGGTATAGAGGAACAAAATGCTGCTCGTTTGAAAGGTCTGGAAGATGCGCCGTGTACAATCAGACCGAGAGTCAATGGGTCATCAATTCCAAATAACAATCGGCAAACCAAGCCATACCCAAGTGCAAACTTGGCCGCAGTTCAAATAACGAACAATTTACAGAAGGAATCGTACACAGACTCACAAAAGAACACAATGCCAACGAAAGATAACGATAAGTTCCAACAAGGACAGTTTCAACTTTTGAGTGCACCTACAGCAAAAGAGGGTACAGAGGAGGAAGCTGTTAACTTCAGGTATTTATTTATAATGACAGCACTGTAGTTGTAGAAGCTAACATATATGTATATAAATTTAACAGAGCACGTTTAGGTGTTAGAGGGCAGCATTGCCACCCTTTTGATGTTAGTAGTACATAGATGTGATAATTTTATTTTTAAATTGTAATTGAATAATTAACTTTTCTATACCTTAATTAATCAAATAAGGCCTTTCTTGCATAAGCACCGCTCTAAATAGGTGCACCACCAGTGATGGTTTTTTGGGTTTTTTTTAATCAGCGCTGCTCTTGAATATGCATTTAGAGATATGATGTGTTAATATGCAAAATGTTGTGGCACTTAATCAAGAGTTGTATATACCTTGATATCTTCGTAAGGTGGTCAGCCCACCATCTCTGAAGAGTTTGAAGACTTTAGAGACGAACGAGCTAGCAATAAGTTCATGATAGATTTAAGCTAAAGTAACATCAACATTGCAACAAGACTTGTTGGCCAGTACAACACATTGTATTATATCAACAGTCCAATAATTTGTCTTAAGCACCATTCTTGAATAAACGCTTCTTTTGATGAAGTGCCACAGTGAAACCTCTAAAATTTTTATAAACCTCGTAGATCATATTTAGTTATTTATGGTACTAATAGAGGCTTTTTAAGGAAAAGATGGTAAATAACTATAGCACTTTTGTAGCAAAACTTAAAAAAACACTGGCTTTTCAGCACATAGAATGTAAATCGGATGCTGTTTGGTAATTATTCTTTATTTACAACTTTTGAAATGGTTACTAAGGTGTCAATCAAACCAAACTATTGACCAATCCAATTGAAGTATGCATTGTTAGGACCACCCATATATGTCTAAGTTTGCACTTATAGGACCTATATATTTTTCTTAATACTTGTACTATAAGCCTTTAGAAAGTGTTGTATTACAATTATTTGTAATTATAGTAATGATAAATATGATTAATAATATTATTAGTAATGATATAAAATATAACGTCCATGCTTGTACGACCCCCCCCCCCCCCCCCCCACACACACATACAATTTTATTGTGGCTACTGGCTCTCTGGTATGACGATCAATCGTCTACAGAAGCTAGTATCCAATTATTCCAACTGATCACTAATATGTAAGAAAAGAACCCATGAAAAAGAATATTGTCCGTTGTTTTTTTGTTTTTTTTTATCATAAGGAATTCTTATTAAATAAGTAAATCCAAAAGATCTATGGGCAAAATAATATGCTTGGGAAATGCGCATTAGTGATCCTACCATTACCCAAACATTCTTTATGCTACTTGATTTTACTTTCATATTTTATGAATGATAATGATTTCTACAATTTGAAGTGAATAACTGTGTACTAAGGACGTGCTGTGGTCAATGATAATTTAACTGTTGACATGTTTTTCTTTCCCACAATTCACATTTGACCTGATTCGCCTTTCAATGCCAAATTCATGGTACGTAAAAGTCTACTCAGCTTAACACTATTTTCACTTTTTTTTTCATTTTACAAGCTGTAGTGTTTGCTGTGTGTTCTTCATCTATGCTTTTGGCCTTGGGACCTTTAAATCTGGTAGTTTACCCCCTTCCTTCTAGTTTAAACTTATTCATGGATGCAACAACTGCATATGTATTGATTTTATATTCCTTTACTGACAAATAAAATTTAGTATATGAAATGAAATAATATATATATAAACTAGTACCTTAATGATATTAACATAGTATTGATATATATTTGGAGCTAATGTTTATGCTAATTTTGGAAAGATCGCAAAGGTTTGCACAAATATTCCATCTGGAAAATGCTAATTATTAATCGGTACCAGTGTTGGCATAGATAGTTTAAATATATAAATAATAAGTTGATAGTGGCAGATAACTACTTAAATTAAAAATATTTATTATTTTATCTAACAAAAAATAATGATATTTTTCAGTGTACTAGTATATTAGTAACCAAGTGGCATTAACAGAAGTTACATTTTTTAATTTAGTATAATATTTTATTTTTAGACCTATATTATATTCTGCATTTTTGATAATTGGTAACTTTAACTAGCATGTCTGCTGCCCCAACATACTAAATACTGATTGATTTTAAACGTTTTATTTTTCTATATAAAAATGAAACTACCATAAATTGAGGAAAATAAATTGTTGCTGAAAAGATTTAAATTTTAAGAAATTCATCAAATACATTATAGTATCATCATCTTTTACTTTTATTTTTTATTAATTATTACACATTGATAATTTTTAAAATAGTAATAATAACAAAAAAAAATCTATATAAATTTTGTTTAAATGAATTATAATATTTGTAATACTCATGCTAATATATAATGGATAATCAAAATCTGCAAAATTAATATTTCTAATTTTCCAATATCAGAAATCACTATTCATCATATACCACTTTTGCATGCTAGGGTATAATTATTTGATTCTGCCTTTTTTTCTTTTTTTTTGTACACCTATATTTATTTTTTTTCCCAGACTCATAATTAATTGGGAATTTATTTTTTCTTAAATATTATTGAGGGTGGAAGCATTTACATGTAATTTTTTTACCTTGAAAACCAGCGCTTCTATTTTAATTGTGCCATCTACAAAGAAAATGCTGAAATTCCTATAAAATAAAATAATAAATGGCCAAAATTAAATATGAAATTATGTTGTTAACATCATAGGTAAATTTAGCAATTAATTATTTGTAAATTTAATTTTCGAGGGATTACTAACAAGGTGCAATTGCCATTTGCATTTTGAAGCAGGATAATTTCACCCAATATATTTTAAAACTTGTGCATAATATAACAAGTTCATAGTTAGTGCTTATGTGGATAATCTTCATTCTGCTCAACATCGGTACATACATCAGAATTCAATATTTTTGTTTTCATCACTTTATCAAAAGCTTTTAGTGGGTGCTTGGTATATGTTCCTTCTTTTTTCATATAGTTATATAGCATTTGCTTTCCTATTGTTGAATAAATCTCCATTTTTCATCTTATGGCTTTGATTCTTTTAGTTTTTGTGATTTTGTGATTATATTTAGTTTACATTTTTTTAATTTTTAGCCATATTTTAAAGCCTCCCAAATGTATTGTACATGTTATGTGAAATAATTTTATTTAAGTTGGGACTATATTTTTCTTGAATGTACAAAGCTATGATGTTAATGTTCTTTTATCCATTAAGTATACCAATGATTCTCATTGAAAATAATTTTTTTTTTATACATCAGTATCAAATGAAATAGCATAAATGTACAGTACTACTGTAAATTCTATTTTTCAATTAAGAATATGTTTTTATTGAAAATGCAAGGAATACTGTTAATCAGAACTGTGAATTTGATGTTCTTTTTTTCTATGTTCTTTTCAGACGTACCGCTTCTCTTCCACCGCAATCTAGTGACAACTCTTTAAAGGTTATGAAAAATGCAAGCAGCTGGCAGAATATGTAAGTATCAACATTACCCATTACTGATTATGTAATCAAGTTTACCAACCCATGGCTATATGCTCCTCCTTTAAATTGGCTTTTCTAAATGGTTATATCATGGTTTATACTACATAGTTTATGTAACATTTGTGTTTTTTACGGAATGGGGTTATTGGCCCCCATGTCGAATGCCCAATCTGGAAATTGGCATCTAGCTCTGAAATCTTCCTGGCATGTTTGAACTTACCAGGGGTAGAAAAACCCCTGCTGATATAGCTTCCAGGGTTAAACAAGATACTCAAACCTACCCGCCACGGCAAAGTAGCAGCACAAATATCACAGTGATCATGAGAGTCTCCTGGAAATTAGAACACCCCCCCAATATTTGCACGTGCTTAAGATTTAACTGAGTTGCGCAATTTTCACTGGATTTTCCAGTTTGGTAAAAACCAGCCTGGTCAATCTTGTTGGCTACGCATTGCTTGGTTAAACTACCCAAGTGTCACAGGTAAGTTAATAAATGTGAGGTAATTTGGACATTTTTCAGTAAACTAACCAGTGTCACCAGTTAGTTTTAATGGAAAAAATCCTGTGATTTTTGAAAATAGTGTAATTATAAAGCCATTTTTCTTCTGTATAGACAATCCCAGTCATCCCCAATAGAAGTGAATGGGACAACAAATATGAGTGGTACGCAAGCTGTGAACATGAAGGCAGATGCACCAGTAAACATCCATGCACGCCGTACCGGCAGCTCGGAGCTTCTCACTGTAAATATTAGCCGGGGACAGGCACCACGAAGTAACGGCATGAATCCCCCTGTTGCACCAAAACCTACACGTGTGAGTTTTTGAGCATGAAATTTATTTTGTGCATCTAGAAAACGTTGTTTCATAATTGATAATTTAGAGGATATTAATAAAATACAGGCTGAGGCTGATTATCAACCTAACAATTTGTAGAACCACTCTATGCACTTTTAGTCTACTTTAGTGTTGATTTATCATCGATAGTTTTAACATAGTTATACATTATCTGCATTTTAATCTCGGAATTTTAATTGCAACAATTGATTGTTATTCTGTTATAGCTGATGCTTTATGTCTTTGCAAGCATAGTACAGTTTCTCAAAATGCAAAGCTCCTACCTTTATCCATTGCCCTCATTCCCTTACCTTTCTCTTTATTATATCATGTTTGTGTAGCATAGGCTGTGGTTTGTTTCCCAATCCTAAAAGGCGCATTATCGCACTGGAAAGCATTTTAGCTAACACAATTATGCAAACTAATGTACTGCATGGATAGAGCTACTAGGTACATGCCATTCAATTCAAAATTTAACAGGTATTTGTTTAAAAGAGACGTGCAAAATTAAATTATAAAATTAAAATCACTAACACATTAATAAGATTAATAAAAAATAATTTAAACCAGAAAAAATACACTTAAGTGCTACATTGTTTTTGTTTTTTATTAAAAAGTAAACAACTTAAAAGTAGAATATTTTAATCAGGAATTATAAAACCAAATCCAACTAATTAAACAGTAACTCTAAAACTTTCCTCAAGATACCCATGGTCCCTGTGATTAATAATAATGTTATAACCTTCCACTTAGCAGAATAATTTTAAGCATACCTCAGTAATGTTTACAAATCGAAAACAGATGAATTCTAACATCATTGCAAAGAAACTTTGTAAAAGGAACTTAACTTTTTTTGTTCTTTCTTTTCCTTGTTCATATTTTTGCCTTCATTATAGCAGGCCGAATCTTCTACTTCCGTCACAAGCCAATCGGCTACCAGCACTGCAACCAATGGCACGCCTACGATTAAAACTAGCAACATCGTCATTGAAACTTGCATTGACGACCCTGTAACCCCCTCATCCGTTCCGGCCCTGGTGAGCGCTTCCAAATTTAGCGGGGTCCCCAATGATTCTCCTATTAAGATCGAGACATCTCTGACAGGTGTCGTCATCACATCTTCAGAATCAGTGCCTGACCTAAGAGGTGTGTCGTCCCCTCCCCCTCCTAGTTCCAGCGACGATGTTGCTAGCCCTTCCAATGGCAGCTGTAAGCCAGAGAGCACTGCCCAATCTTTTGGTTTGGTATGTTTATTTTCGTCTTCGGTTGAGTGAACACTCGCCTTGTTTAATTTTTTTTTTTTTTTGGTTCATCTCTTTTGCATCCTTTTTTTTTTACATTGAAATAGTGTAACTAACAAATGCAAGACAAATCTTAGTAGATCAATCTCAATACATTTGTTGGGATTTATAAATCTTTGAATAAATTACTAGTACCTTTATACTAAATTGTTTTTTTTTTTTTTTTTCTAGAAATGTTCTTTCCCTTCCTTTGAGGCTAATAATATCTTGGATAAATTTAATTCTTTAATACAGTATTTTCTATTAAATTATTTGCCTTTTGGAGGGTTTGTTTTTATAATTTTTACTTTTTAATGTTTACCATGAGATAAGCATCCTTGTACTTGTACTTATTAATGCAGATCAACCTTGATAATGTATAAGCTTTGTCATGCATTTGGATGTTGTTCCTGTTTTTTCTACTTTTATTTTGTTGTTTTTGTTGTTGGTTTCTTCACCTGACTCCATTAACTTGTTTTTCATTGGCTAATTTCCTTCAAATTCATTTCTCTAATATCTAACTTCATGTTCATTCATGATAGCACACATTTACAAACCTAGAAGCCGGTACACCAAACATTCACTTGTGTTAAATGTTGATGTTTTATGCAAATTTCCACCTGTGCTTACAATTGTGTGTATTAAAGCAAAATTCATTCACAGTTTCTTTTGGTTTACTGAAAATTATAAGTAAAAATTAAATTGTGCCATTTAGTTTTTATAACGACCATAAACTTTAAAATAATTTTTAATATTTAATTAACTGCTGTGTTAAATATCAGAATTAACAGATAGTTTGGATATATTTATTTCTCTACCACATTTTACTGAATAAACTAATATATTTATATAATCTATATATTTTTACTAGCAGTTTGTCATTATTAATTGAATAGATTCCCAATAACATTTTGATAGATAACATTAATTTTGAAGTGTTGAAATATATTTAAAACTGTACAGCATTTATTATCCAACTTCTTATAGTAACTTCAAGTAGTTTCTATAGTTTTCGTATAAACTTACTTCAGATTTATCTATTTTGGTGTTGTGCATCTTACTGGCTTGGCTTTCAAAAGATCTACTTATAATATATACTGTATATAGGCCAACTATATATGCTGCCTGCTCTTATTCCATCACATTGCCAATATTTTCCTAATAAAACAAATGTTGTTTGATTGCATGTCTTGATGTTCTTCAAAATAATCTGTTTTAGTTTAATCGAATCGTATATTTTCTCCATGATTGAATATACTGTATTGGCTTTTTTCATTTTGGTTTTTCATTACTTTTTGGCTGTATTTACTTGCATTTGTGTATTGGTAGAAATGTAGTTGTTCTGCATTTAGTTTATCAAGTAGTCCTATACACTATTTAATCATACTATTATTCTACTCTTCTTCTTCCCAATGTTTACTTTTTTTAGACAAAAGTCTAAATAGTAATTACCGTAAATGACCAAATAAGGACTGCAGGAATTATAATTTTTGGCAGCTTCAGAGCATATTTATTTATTTATTTATTTATTGAACATATTTATAAAGGATAACATATCAGAAGGGTGTAATAACCTGTTTTACTCAGCCCACGAATTTCACGTCAGCAATCAGTAATTGCCGACCATATTGCCGAGCCAAAATTGCTACATGACAGCAATTTTTTGCCGACCTAGGCCTAGATTTCTTTGCTTCAAAAACTGCTTGGAAAATCAAAAACTTTGACTGAAACAGGCTCTAGCAGACATTAAATTTCATGTACGTTGTCAAACCATGGAAATTGGTGGTTCACAAAACAGATTTGTTTGTACAATAACTATTTCTAATAGGCATGCAGTACGTACAATTTGTGTACAATCGTCTTGTCTTTCTCACCTAGTTGTTTTGTAGGCTAGGCCTAGGTAGGAATAACGCTAGCCAGCCAAGGCCTACAACATCACCCAATTGAAGCCACGTGGGCCACGTAGATTGTAATGCTTATCTAAATCTATTATTTGTCTTCATTTTACAGTATATTATTATATTTAAAATGTTGTTTATTATCTAAAAACAACAAAATTCAACATCTTGTAGGCCTAATCCTACCATCCGTTTAAACGCAATCATGATCGCATCGTGACTTCACTACTGACAAGTACACTGTACATGCGTGGAAAATCCCTGATAGATCATTCTGGGCATGCGCATGGGCATTTTTGAAGCAGCCTGTGATGATACAATCGTAGCTTTTACGAAAGGGATAATTCCCATGCCAAAGATAAAGATAAAACGAACGCTAAAACGAAATTTATTCAGCGATTTTTCTTATGTAAAACATATGTATTATACTACACTATTAAATTAATACAAGTACAGTACGACCATTCTTTCACAAGAAGTATATTGATTTAATAGAGAAATTAACAAAATCACAATCTATCGATGACGATGTAAGGTCGAGCATTCTGAAAAATTGTTATTTATACTATATAGGCCTAGGTAGTAAAAAATTGCCGAGGCTGCCGACCTCGGAGAATTAAAGGTCGGCAAATTTTTGCCGACCTAATCTTTTCCTAATTTCATGGGCTGTTTACTCATGGTCCTTTTTTGTGATACAAAATTACAATATATAAAAATCAACAAGTTGCATATTAATAAAATTGAAAAGAGACTTAATTACAATTATGATAAAAAGCTTAATATAAAAAATGAAATTCATAGACTTTTGTTAGAATACATCTGAAGAGTTAAAATCACAAGCCTTTATCCAGTATTTATTAGTTAAAATCACGTTTTGTGCAGTACTTATTTTAGAGTGGCCGTTAATTGAGAGGAGCACTTGTCTTCCCTAATTGATCATTTACGGTATTTGTTATCCTAGATGTCAACCAGTTCTGGTGAACAACTCCACTCCCTGTGAAGAGAATTAACTATAAAGCATCTTAAAGATCTCATATAAACAGCATCAACTATTACCCCTTGTTAAATCTATTCCTTTATTGATGATTAAACTAAATTTATAAACATAAGTTTTTAGGAAACTTTTGAAAATGGTGTCCCAAGATAATGTGTATGGTTACTCATAACATTCATATAGTATTCTATAATCTTTTGGTCTCCATATTTTTCTTTTGTTTTTTGCTTGGGTACTTTTTTTTTTTTAAAGATTGTTTCAAAGATTTTATGGAACCAGTGCTTATCCTCGATATTTTCAACTCATTTCTACCTCTTTCTTTACTCTCAACAGATTTTAGCTACTTCTGCGAGTACACCTAATCGTTTAGAAGTAGGTTAACTTGCATATATTCATACCCAATACTCATAATGTGTGTGTAGTGTTTGTGTTGAAGGTGAAAAGGTACTGATATCAGAGTTGGTAGCACTTTTCATTTGGCTATAATATATAATAATGTCCTTAATCCTCTAAAAAAACATTTGTCTTTTATAATATTTTCGAAGTTCCCCATTATCAAATTGTTATTTATTAAGTTAATTCATACAATATACCAGGACATTGATCAATTAAAAATAGGTTTTTGAACATTTATTAATATACTGTATAGCCATTTATGCACACAGTGATTAAATATCCAAACTAATTTTTAATTTGCTACTTGTTTCTTTATTCTTGTATGTTACCAGTGGATTCAACATTTTCTCACTTGTCTTATTGAATAATTTTACTTTAAAATATGTGGGTGAAAGGATTGCACACTGCTGAACAGTTCCAAATGTGGTGATACAAATTTATTTTACTTTATTAAACAGTTCCACTTACTCATACGGTGAAAATGTAAACATCCCAATTTTTTTCATCTTGTGATTGGCTGCCGAGCAGTGTGCATCAGTGAACATAGAACCTCTGTCTAAGCTCTAAGAATAAGCAAATGACAAAAACAACCTTTTTCTTTTTCGCAGACTTTGAAAATCATTATTATGATTTGTTAAACCATAACGACGTGGACTAAAACTACTTCTGATTCCAGTACATTTTCACCTTATTACATTACTTATGTTTTCATTATGAGCATTTAGATATCATAGAAAAATTCCTAAAAGTATTACATTTACATTTATTGTTCATAAACTAAAGCTTTGTCTACACTATAAAAGTTTATGTGACAAAAAATGTGATGTGCCCATATATGGGTACGATGACGTCATATCACATATTAACAAATTGTATCAAAGAAAGTTCAGCTCTATATTCCATCACATTTTATGTGACACTTTTTTTGAGGAAAGTTGACAGTCTAGACAAAGCTTAATTGATTTTAGTTATAAATTTGATAGTAAATTGGAAAATATATTGTAAATGCATGATAATTATAAAGCATTACAATTTGCTTTTTGCCAAAATAAATCTAAGAAATAGTTAGTATATAGATGTTTTAACATATAAAACATTAAAAATACCCAATGGTTGTGTGTGTATGTATATTGACATATGTTGAGCCAGGCATATCAGATACATATATATATATATATATATATATTGCAAGTTATACTTTATATAACTGCAGAAAACAAAATCTTCAGGTCCATAGGGCTATCTTCTTGTCTGGTTTTCTGTAAGATTTGATTACTTGCAACACATAGCATAATAAATTTGAGTGTATCTGCAAATTTAATATAATTTGTTATAATTTAACATTTTTCTCAATTTAACCTACAGAAAACTATTTTTTAAAAAGAAAACAACAATGAAGACTTACATGTTATTAATACAGTTTTATTATTTGAGGTTCAGTTTTTCATATTTCTATCTTTATATTTTATTTAGCAATTGCAGAAAACAAAGAAAGTTAACAGTTCAACTTTACCTGCTGTGACTAGAAAAACGTCTGGCCATGGAACCAGTTTTGCTCCAGCCGTTACCACCAATGTAACGCGGCAGAGATCTGGCAACGGAATTTCTCCATGGCATGTTGAAACCTATCCGGATCAATCAATTCAGACAAGAAGTACAATGACAACAGAACTATAATGAACTTAATTGAGTTGAGTATGGATGATGTTTACCTGGTACAGATACTATTCGCCTGTTACTGAGTCTACATTGTGAAAGCATTCACCTATTATGGAAGCTGTTTACCTATTGTGGAATCTACAGGTATCCCTGTGGTGGAAGCTGTTTACCTGTTGTTGGAGATATTCATATTTGGAGCTGTCGCTTGTGAATTGTTGAAAATACTGATGCTATTTGCAGGCAACAACTTGAGAGAATTTTAGGGTTACAGTGATGGCTATGGAAATATCAGTTGTCTTTAATAACAAGCATCATTTTATCTCAAATATGTATTTAATATCTGCTAGAGGTAGCGTAAATGTCTGGCAGATAAGTTTACTCATGTTATCTTTAAAGACGATATGATAAAATGTATGGTGATTTATAGTCCATTCACTTGTTCCTTGACACTGTGTAAACATTTTGTTTTGCACAGACTAACTAAAAAAAACCTTGCTGTTTTAAATTGTGAATATTTCAGATTTGTACAGTATAAAAGAAACTATTGGTACTACTAATGAACTAAGATGAGCTGCCAGAGGTTCATGCATGTTTTGAGGGAAATAGAATTTTTAAATATGTGAAAGATTTTTGATAAATGGCAAGTAATCACTAATGAATGTTCATTACAAATATATATAACTTATTTTTTTTATTCTGGGTACTTGGTGTAGTGTTGAGGTTTTTTTTTTATGAAAAGGATTTTGCTGACTGATGAAAAAGTATATTTGCACATTGGGTTTGGAAGAGAATATTGAATGAAAAGTTTTATCTACTTTTTTAACTTTTAATTTTAATAATGAACAAACTAATACTTTGACCTTGTAGAAAATCCAGAGCTAATTATTTTTGTTTCAAATTCATCATTTTTAAAAGGGATATTGAAAACCTGTGTTTTTTTTAAAGAAATTTGTGACAAAAAGTCATTGTGAACTGAAGGCTATGTTAAATATTTTTTAAATGTGTAGATGAAAACAATTATCGATTATGTTGTGTTCTTACAGCATTTAAATTTTTTTTTATTGTTTTTTTTAAACAGACCGATTGACTGAAAATCCATTGAAGTTCTTTTTTCTCAGAAATGTAATATTGTATAGTGTGTAATATCTTTGTGTTGGTGAATCTATGTATAATTAATTAAAGCATAATTTTATGGTCCTTTAAATCGAAAGAATATGGTATATAATGTTTGGACCGTGGCTTGTAGCATACTAACATTTAACTATAAAAATTGTTATCTTTAATTTGTTATCTTTATAGTGTTTTAATGTTTTATTTTGACTTGTGAAAGTAAGTAGTTGTCCAATTCAGATCATTTAGCTTTATATCGTCTGCATTTCATATTTTAGCTTCCTTTCCAACATATTTTATTCTTGTTGTAAGTGTTACTGAACTGTTTTATTTAATGACTTAGTTGCTGTATCCAAACATGTATATTTAGTTATTAAGAGTGGTTTTATAAGTGACGGCTATGATTTTGGTTTCATAACTTAATTAAAGACACCATTACCTGATATAAAATTAGTTAATTTTGATTTTAAAAAATACACATAATTCTAGGTGGCTTTATGTAAATAAATATTGCTATTAAATTAAATACCATTCACTTAAAGAAAGAATTTGAAAAATTACAATAAGAAAATGTAAATCAAGTGTTTTGGAAACGTAAAAGAACGGTGAAACATTTTTTAATTCAATTTTAAATATTATAATTATTGGAAACGATAACTGGTTGGTTTTGAAATAAATGATACCACAGAAAATATAGTAACACTACCAAATATTGATCTCAATATATTTTTGGGAGATGAAACATTTGAAATGATGATACTCCATTTTTATTCAACCATCAATAATTTAATTAAAAATACATCTAGTGCTTAAAAATCATTTTATATTGACAATTGTGCAGGTCATTCCACTCAATCCTAACTTTTTATTTCATATTTGTTATTGCATTCTTGAAAATCGGTGTGAAGTTTATCAGTGTATATTTTCACTTAAAAATAATGAGTATGAGCTGATACTGTTATCAATTTTAATTGTTATATATTGATGTCAAATGATTCAAACACTGCTGCACAAAGCTTATACCAATTTTAATAATTATATTTTGATGTCAAAAGATTCATGCACAATTATTCAAAGCTTTTACTAATTTTCAAACATTTTACTGTGTTGGTGTAAAATTAATGTTGAGAAAACCTTTACAGAAGTATTCCAAAGATGAATAATAATGGTACTGTACTTATATTCAGTGCCTTCAAAGTTCACCTTGATAGTGTATAGGTAGGAAACTTGGCTATGACTCCTGGGTACCTAGAAAAGCTGATCCATGGTTGGTTTATTGATTTATTGATTTAATTCAAAACCAGAAGAGAAATGATAGTCATGGGAACATTCATCAGTTGTCATCTGCTCTTTGCAAATATCATAAACTATTAATATTGTACTACTACATGTTGATTGTGATTGCACAGAACCATGAGTTTCAAGTTCAGTTAATTAGATAATTCATGTGCTTATATTTTAAATGTCATCATAGATATGTTACTACTCTTAGGGTTCATTCCTTGGTAAAGATTTTGCCTGCTGATACACTGTATTCTAGTGGCATCTGCCAGTGGCGTATCTAGAATTCTTGAAGTGGGGGTGCTGGGGGGGGCACGCAAAGGTGAAGTGGGGGCTCAATGATCAGTTGAGGGGCGATAACTTGCAAAATAGGTGATTTTAGGTGATTTTTAACTACTTTACCTTGATTTTCGGGGAGGAGGGGGGGGGTGGTGGTGGCCGTGAGTAATTTTTGGAGGGGTATGCACCCCCTGCTCATGCCCTAGATGCGCCGCTGCATCTGCCTCCAGTGCACTAAACACCTGTGTTGTTTAAGATGGTCTTCCCTGTAGATCAGTTACTATATTTTAGTGATGAACAAAACTCACATTATGATCACAAATACCACTCGGTGTATTTAAAACTTTGCATTTTAAATCACCCCTTTTCATTTGGTTATTGTATCTCATTGAACACCAATTTAAGGTAGTTTTTAATCAATGAATTTTAGTGCTTACAGTATATAACTAATGGCTTTGATGTGTCAAACGTCTGTAAAAACACAAAAGATGAGAGAAAAATAGATATATAAATGATGGCTCAGAGTTGTTGGAAACCTAGTCTAAAAGGGAAGGGATTTTGGTTGTAGAATGATCAACATACAAATTATAAATGACTGTATCTGTAATAAAATTAAGTCAATTTGTAACAGGATATATGATTGTAATTTGTATAGTTTTTTTGTGGTTGTAGATTTTATATGATACAAATATGTACAGTACAGTACTCAGAGAAAACCAGCATCGACCATGAAAATAGAAAATGCAACACAAAAAGATGGATTCTATATCGCTGGGAGATTTAACATAACAATTACAGTATTGTTATCATCAAGATAATATACTGTAGATATATCTTTTTATATCTACAGTACTGTATAATATAATATATATACAATAGTATCAAAGATACAGTAAGGTTAAGGTGCAAGTAAACCTTAACATACATACTGAACATGTCTTATTAAATTTTAGTATCGTAATAAATAAATTCTACTTATCATTACATTATTACACTTGTCCTAGTATTGTATCATCGTCATTACCATTTATAACCAGCTTTAAACATTTCTATTCAACAATATGGAATTGAAATATACAAAATAACAAATCAAGCAAGCCAATTAGACACACAAAAATACAAAATTCAACAAATAGCCGAAAAAGTTGAAACAATGGTTTAGCTTTGGCCAACAATCAAAGGGAAATTGTTGAAACTTTGTTCGGTGATGGCTCCAGATATTTGCCTCCTGTGGATTCATTACGGCCTCAATCAGGGTCCGGAATAAAAATTCCAGGTAGGATTCATGGGGAGAGTTTTTATGGCTTAGTATGACCCAGAATTGTGCTCTTGGACCAAAATATTGGGGATTAGCAATCAAAATAACGTTTTGGATAGGCAAATTGATATTTGGAAATTCCACCTGCGTCACCCTGCCTCCTTATTGCTAACAAGTGTCTTCAACATTGTGTGTAGTTTTGTGAAAGTGTTGACGTTTAGCGCTGATAGAATTTCTGTTCATGTTCTTTTTCCTGTTGAGGATGAAAAAAAATACAAAAAATACTTTGTTTTTGATTGACAGCCAAATTAAATATGTATTTGAATAATAGCTTGATAGCTTCGGATATTTTTTTGTTTCACTTGATTTAATTTGATACATTAAAGGAACAAACAGTCAACAGAAAAATTGTTCCAGCAAACCTCTATTTTGAACACGTTCAATATTTTCCATTATTCCATTTGCAAGTGTCGTTTGGAATAAATTCTTGTAGATTTTTGTATCCTGTTTTTAGCCATTTAGCTTGTGAAAAATACTATAAGTGCTTTTTGTGGTAAATAAATGTGTGATTTTTACTTGCCCTCAGCAGTTCTTGTATAGTTTTTCGGCTTTCATCAGAGCGCTGTTCACCTTTATGCTTATTGTTGGTCGTGAATTGTGTTCGTCAGTGTAGAAAATTACAGTAGGCCTACTCCAGTTTGATTATTACAATTTATATCAATGTATCGTTTGTGTGAAAACCTCATACACAATTTGCGGCAATGATTTTTCGTGATAGAATTAGAATTCTATTATAGCGTCATCACTACCTCGAATTCCGTAGGCTATAGATAATAGATTCACATAAAAAATAAGCTGCGTGTAAGAGTAGACGTTAAAACTTAGTCCTGGTTCAGGATAGGTTTATTTCGTTGACTCTTTGTCAATTGTGTTTTCTTTTTGTTTTAATTTCAATTCATTCTACTGCCTCACTGACTTGTCTCAACATTATATTTGTTTTCCAATATCTTTCATTCCTCCCTGATATTCCTCCAATGACGTTTGTTCTGTGTTTGGTTTCTCCATTATAGTAATATATTTTTATAAAAGGTGGACTTTCATCTTTCTTCGTATAGGCCTATTTTCGTATGTGTTCGTTGCATCTTTCACCAACACTTCTCGCTGTTTCTCCTGTACAGTCCTTTTTTACCCGCTACATTGTTTTAAGTAGTGGCATACATCACTTCTCTTTGCATAACAGTTCGCCTTGCCTCCTCCCGGTTACACACGAGACATCCATCTTCTTTGCATTAGTTTTTCTTAATGCATTTGCTCTTAATGATGTCCCTAGTCTCTACCACTTTGATGTTTAGTTTACACGTTTCAGATATTCATGAAACCTCTTTTCAATTTGGCTTTCGTTTCATTACTTATGCATTAAATTAGTGAATTATAGTACCGTAATTATATTAATGAAATGAAGAAATAATAGTTACTTTCTTAATTAAGATCAGTTCTAATGATTTGAGTCGGGAAGATGTGGGATATTTTTTCTGTGATTTAGACAGTATTCTTATGAAATAGTTTGGTAAGTAGGACTAGTTGTGGTTTATTTTCCTATACAGTTATTAGTGTTTTTCCTAGACCCATGCAACTTGGCTTTGTTAGCAAAATTCTTAAAATCAACTAATCATTCATCCGCGCATTTTCAACATTAAATCTTAAAAGACGATATGCTTGACATGGAAATATTGCAACTGGTATACTGTACTTTAAGTTACATAATTATAATGTAGTGTATATACAATTAAAAGTAAATTGTAATCTACTGTATCGAAGACGGCGGACATGTCAAGCAGGACCATAAGGACACAGGGGTGGCGCCAGGATTTGCCCGACGGGGGGACTGATGCCCCCGATAAGGGGTCAGATTTCCCAAACGAAAGCAAAGTGGGCGTGGTCGAGCTTCGATTAAAAGATTTAGAAAGTGGTCCAGGGGGCGAAGCTCCCGAAAATTTCGACAATTTAGATATTACAAAAGGCTTTTTTAATCGATTTTAGAGTCTACTAATATGTAGAAAATACATATAATTTTTTTTCTCCCCGACGAATTGTGCTTTTTTTCTCCAATGGGGGGGGGGGCTTCCCCCGGCCCTCGCTGTCGCCACCCTTGTAAGGACAGCTTTGTCGCTATCAAGTGTATCGCAAAAAAAAATATTTTTAAACTTTAAAAGTTCTGTCTATCTGCAATGGTTTTTCTTGTCAGAAGATTGATATTGCTCACCAAGATTATTATTGTCCACATAATCCGTAACTTGGCACACCACCACCTTCACAATAACATTTGACAAAAAAAGGAATAGTAGCAACTTAGGCCTATAATTACTTAATGTATCTTGGTCTAAATTATATTTCTTAATTACTGGTGTAATTATAGATTTTTTTAGATCGTTAGGGAAAATTCCTGTTCAAGAGACCTATTTACGCTGGGATATCTGGGAATATCTGATCGCTGGGAAACTAGTATGAATTCGGAACTTTACGTTCTGTTTTGTATTAGACTCAGAATCGGGATAAAAATTCAAGCCCAGACGAGCTGGTACCGGCTTACCGGGTAGCTCAGACACAGAGCTTAGGGGAGGAACAAGTTATTGTACTAGTTAGTCCACACCTCGAGCGTTTTGAGACGGTATTAAGCGTTATACAGTATAAATCCAACCTACATTACATTACATGCTGCTGCTGCCACTGTTGCTATTATTATGCCAGCGACGATATCTTCAGCAGCCTGCGGACGAGTGTGACTGATGACACTGGGTACCATGACACTGTATGTTGAATATGTTATCAGATATTCCGGATATATTTGGTCGTTATTAGAAATCACAAAAATAGTTGGATTTCTTGTATCATTGACGCAAGAATCATAATTATGTGGTGGTCTTCTCATGTAGCTTTCTCCAACGGTGTAATTGCCAGCAAGAACTCGGGCTAAAAACATCCTCTTGTGATTCCATCTGTCGGCTGTTGCGTAGTTATCAGAATAACCTGCTGTGCTTGCAAAATAAGCCCCTCGGCCATAAGCGGCACCATTTCGCCTTCCGCTAAATTCGATATTAAAATTATTTCGACAAATGTCTTCAGCGTTCTGGCGTGTAGTTCCATGAAAGAGTTGGTGCTCAGCATTGTTAAAAGTTCTTCTCATGTATTCATTTTGCCTTATGAGAAAGAAAAACAATATTATTTTTGAAGAAATTTAGCAAGTGTGTGGGTGGAGGTAAGAAATTTACAACTTGCCTGCCCACTTAACCTACTCTGAATTCGATCAGTTATACACTCATTTTTACACAATGCTAATATAATTTTTTTTAAATCATTACAACGTCTGTAATTCAAAATATTATTAGTAATATCAAATTTTATTTTAAAAATTATAATAACATTTTGCACTTCGGGTATCTCCAATTAATTATTTATAGTCAATCGAACTACAGGATAGGAAGTAGCCTATTCTTAGGATATGTAGGCCTACAAATCTTAATCATCTAGAAAAAAACAGGTACTAGCACCGGCTATCGTTCAAGGGAAACATAATGAAATGGACCTTTCTGCCTGAGACAATCCCGGAGACAATATCAAAATATAACTATAAATTGACTTTTATTAGGCAATTACAGGCAGGTTTTGAGTACACTATAGGAAGTAATGGCTCCTAAAATGACAAAGCAACAGTGTGGAAGCTTCAGGCCCTGTTCTGATTGGTCAGTTGTTAAGTTTGATGACACCCGAAATGTCCATTTAAGAAGTGTGTGCTGAGGGCCTACCTATTAAATTTTGCTCGCAAATGCCTATTTTGAACACGTTCAATCTTTGTGATATCTCCGTTTGGAAGTGTCGCTTGGAACGAATCCTTTATTCTGTTGTATTCTTGACTGTCGCTATCCAGTTCTTCTAGTTGATAGGATTCAGTGTTGTAAGTCCATGGTCTACGGTGGAAATCGTGCGTGTATCTATTTTGAGCCTTAAATGCAACAACATTACATTTTTAGATATTGGTTCCGTTATTTTTTAAGTATTTGTCTTTCAAAAACATTGGTTTGAAAATACCATAGACCGACAACGAAATCTGTGGAAAATAAACATGAACAGGACCAGGTTTCGATCTAATACCTACGAAACCATTGTTCACGTCGCAATTATTCTTTTTCATGACATTCGGGGTATATCGTACGGTATTTGGTCACTTGGGCAAAAAAAATATATTACCGTAACACTATCCCGGAACCGGTGGCTAAACGATTAGACACGGGGCCCGGGGGCGAAAAACCATGGTGGGGATGAGGTGCTATAGACCCTCCATGTGTGAAAGTCCATCCATGCCGAACCCCCCCCCCCCCTCGGTATTTCGAATTCCTGGATCCGCCACTGTAGTCCTTTGCTTCATTATCCGACTATATAAATTTCATGTTGGTAGTGTAGGAATTGATATTTTATAAACCGGACATATATGAGTTGAAAACTTGGGATTATTGCTTTTATTTCCTTGGGTGTCTTCTACTAGACCATAATGCCAATGCTCTGTTAAAGCGCTGTTTATCAGTAGGATGACCCTCTAGGGCCCTTTAAATTGGGGGCCAGGGGCTTCGCCACCCGAGAGCCCATAGGTGTTACGTTAAATCCCGGACCCATCTTCCCATAGTCAGAACTTACCATTGTTACGCAATTAAACGATAACTTGGCAGAACTTGGCAAAGGCACTTTGTATCTGAAAATATAAAAATTCAGTCAAGCAACCACTTCTAATAGCCCTATGCCGTGGCAGTGCAGGTCCTACTTGTTCGTTAGAGTCCAAACATGTGGATGTGTTGCCAATGGAAATCGTGTGTACAAGTGCGGCGATTGCCCCTTAATTTTTTTATTTTTTTTTAAATTACAGTATAATTTTGTTTTTAAATAAATTTATAAAGTCCGAGTAAAATTGGAGCTATTGCTTAGAAGGATGCAACAACTGCCTCAAAGGCCTAGGAAGTTGGAGATAGTGATACATCTGCAGGAAGGTTAAGAGATAGTACCGTAATACATCTCCAGGAAGGTTGACTGTGAAAACAAAAGTTGTAGGCCTGTACGTTCCACCCACATTCAGGGGTTGGCTACTCTACTTGGTCAGTCGACGTCGGAGACTACTGACAGTGCCAAATTCCAGTGAATCCTCTGTAGTCAGAGTGCAGCGATTTTATGAAAACAGGCGTATTTTTTTTATGTATAATATTGTCCCTCGGGATTCTAACCCGACATTCTGATTACCGTTCTGAGATGCTTTAAGTTATCATTACAAAATTTACATTTACATAGGCCTATAGTGTATATGCATTTGAAGACCACCAAACCAAACACATTAAGAGTTTTTAGGTGCTTCCTTTTCGTCAATTGTTGCTCATTTCCAGTTGCTTTGTTGCCTATGCTATTTTTTGTTTAATGCTATTGATGAATAAAAGATCTTAAATTACAAGGTTTTGGTTCCTTGCACTAGTGTCTGTTTTTGTGGTTTTCCTTTTTTTTTTTTTGGTTGATGTAGTCTGCTCTCTTCTCTTTTTTCTCTATTCTTTGAATCTCCTGCTTCTTTTATTCTGTTTTTTATTACGTCCATACCTTTTGTTCTTGGAAATACTGTTCAGATATTGTGTATTTGCGTTTGCCTTATAGATCGACCAAATTATTATTATAATTTTATTTCAAATGACTTGAATTGAAACGCAAAGCTGGTAAATTTCATTGGGTTTTCCCATTTAGGCCAAGACACGATTTTTTTTAAAGGTGTAACATTGCGTAATTACGCCACAGATAGTTTCATTGTCTTAATATAGAAAGTTCAGGTTAAACATATTGTCTGTTGTGATTTATCCTCTTTATATTGCTCATATTACAATGATGATTTTAGGATAAAAAATAAGCATTGGCCAACATCACATTCTGGCTTAGGCCTATTATTTATCTAATACTTCAAACTGTAGGTCCTAATTTGATTGAAATTCTTTGAATCTCCTGCTTCTTTTATTCTGTTTTTTATTACGTCCATACCTTTTGTTCTTGGAAATACCGTTCAGATATTGTGTATTTGCATTTGCCTTATAGATCGACCAAATTATTATTATAATTTTATTTCGAATGACTTGAATTGAAACGCAAAGCTGGTAAATTTCATTGGGTTTTCCCATTTAGACCAAGACACGATTTTTTTAAAGGTGTAACATTGCGTAATTACGCCACAGATAGTTTCATTGTCTTAATATTGAAAGTTCAGGTAAACACATTTATCCTCTTTATATTGCTCATATTACAATAATGATTTTAGGATCAAAAATAAGCATTGGCAGACATCACATTCTGGCTTAGGCCTATTATTTATCTAATACTTCAAACTGTAGGTCCTAATTTGATTGACAGCTCAATTACTAACATTTTCATGACCATTAAATAGTACGTTCTTTTATCAATGATGGCATTAACGAGAAAGAAAGTTACCCGTTGTATATACAGCTATAAGCCCAAAGTGTATTTGAGTAGAATTATAGTCTGTCGTGTCTGGAAAGAAAATGACTCACTATCGATCGATTAAGTTATATCGGTGTAATGTCGTAATGTGAAGTATAATAAACATTGGGATTTACAAAATAAAAAAAATAATTTTCTATGAACCATTTTAGTAAGAAGGCCATTGTGATGCCCTATGCGCATAACGTTGATGATGATCATAATAATAATAAATTATAATTATGCCACTAATTATAAAATTTCAAGGCATATATTGAAATTAGCGCTCTCACTTATCTATTCTAAATATGTTGTACCCCCACCCCCGTTTGAAAAATTCTGGATCCGCCCCTGGCCTATAATGATTTCTCTAGAATTGACTGACATTATGGAGGGAACGTAACCATGTATACAGGCAATCGTGTCATGTATCTCCGATTTATTGTAGACTCGATTATTTGCTTATCTCGCGTGATCCTTCAAACCAGATTGATGAATGCAAAATTCTACCAGGTTTCAAATCTGATCATTCATTAATCGATATTGTACTAACGCCGTTACACAATATACGCCACATATGATGACCGGGCGTCACGAATATTCTTTTTCATGGTATTCCGGATATGTTTTGTCATTTTACAATATTAATTAATATTAACACTATCCACCGTACGGACCCATTTTCCATAGTCAGAACTTACCATTGATAAGCAATAAAACTATTATAACTTGTCGCAGTCTGGCAAATTGCACCTTGTCTGTGCAAATATAAAAATTCAGTCAAGCAACTTCGATTGTCAGTGCAACTCCTACTTCTACTTCTACTTCGTTTGTTGCAGAGCCAAACATCTGGATGTGTTGTTAATGGAAGAGCGTGTGTACACATGCGGTGCAGTGTGTATGTGTCATCCACCCCCCCCCCACCCCAAATGTATGTGCAGTATAAATATAAATAGAGATTTTTAAAAAAGTGCGAGTAAAATTGGCGCCATTGCTTAGAAGGATACAACAGCTGCGTTAAAGGCATCGGAAATTGGAGATAGTATTACCAGTACGTCTCGAGGAAGGTTGTTCCACCAGTTGATTGTTCGTGGAAAATTTAGAGTTGTAAGTTTGTCATGCCATCCACCCATATTCAGGACTACTTCCTAGGAAAGTTTTTGTTTTTTGAAGATGCTCGGAATAGTTTCAAGGTTTTTAGTCAAATTAAAATTAATACCAGCTAAGTAAGTTTGGTGCCGGGGGCCAACAAGAGGCTGCACAGCAGCCGTCTGAGTGCGGAGAACGAAGGACCTGGCAAAAACATAAGTGGATTTGATAATAAATCGGTATTCCTTATAGCCGAGAGCTTTCGGTTCAACCTTTCCGACAACTGCCGGCGACTGTCGTCGATAGGGTGAGCGATTCTATGGTTTTATGGATTCTATTGAGAACGATTCAAATGACCACTCAGCGTCGCCAATCCCCAAGCTTTATAGTAATTCTACTGCATTTTATAAAAACCAGGCGTTTTTAGTTGCTTCTTTTCGTCAGTTGATGCTCATATCAGTTTACTGAACTCTGTTTTAGTAGTGGTCTTAAATTCATTGACTTAACTTTTAAATGAAACGCGAAGCTCATCTGGTGGTAAATTCCATTGGGTTTTCCCTTTTTTATTTATTTATTGTTTTTTATTTATTTAATTCACAATCAACAGAGATAAAAACCTCCACTAACAGGTTGAAGAAAAACATATACATATAGAAGGAGACAAATAATAACTTACATCAAACAACCTTCATAATTTTAAGCTTAAACGAGGATAAACTACGGTATCATAAAGAAATATCAATTTTATCAGAACAACTTAAATTATTATATGTAACAGCTAATCTTTGGAATAAACCTCTCTTAGTTACGTCAACCCGGCCAAATGGAACATAGATTAAGTTTCTAGTACGAGTACGACTAGGAACTTTAATTTAAACAAAGATACAAGATTACAGTCAAATACAGAATTTAAACTTTTGTAGAAAAACAGCATATCAAAGACACGAATTTTGTTTTAAGGTGCAATATTGCGCAAATTATGCCAACAGATAGGCCTATGTGTCTCTATTGTTGAGGTTTAGCAATTGCTATCTATTGTGATTATCCTGGAATATTTATATACTCTTTATTAAAATCATAATTAGGATAAAAAGTGAGTATTGGCCTATTGTTAAATCTAAAGCTTCGAACTGTGGACCCATATTTGAATGACAGCTCAATTCTTAACATGATCATTAAATTAGTAAAATATCTGAAACTTCTTTAATATTGAGAAAGAAAGCTTACCCGGAGCTGTATAGGCCCAATGTGTTCGAGTATAACTGTAGTCTGTCGTGTCTTGAAAGAAAGTGACTCAACTGTCTATCGAGTCAATTATATCAGAACAATGTATTGATATAGGCCTATATAATAGACATTGGACTTTACAAAATATCAAAAATAGGCATATAACTAATTCTGAGGATATTTTTTTATGAAGCATTTTAGTAAGAAGCATTTTAGTAATGATGATGATGAGAATAATAATGATAACAATATTGATAATAATAATAATAATAATAATAATAATAATAATAATAATAATAATAAAGGATAATGAAAATGATGATAATTAATACTGAATAATATTATGATAATCAGATAATAATAAACATACTAGTAATAATTTATATTTTCTTTTCTTTTCTGACAAAGCCGCATTTATTCACAATGTTCTTTGTTAAAAAACATACACATGCACATCCAACATAAAAACTAAATTGTTATCGATCTCTTCATTCTTATTTTCATTTCCCTCTAAAAAAAAAAATTTCTCTCAAATATTTGTTGTTTTCTTAAGATTATATTCTTATATATTTTTTTTTCTATAAACCCAATCATGGATTATATCCAAGCCATTAGTAATTCGATCTTTGTATTTGTCTTGCAGATAAATTATTAAATATAAGAATGATGATGATGAAGACGATGATGATGATTATGATGATGTTAGTAATGTTTAATGTAGCTCATATTTTGCAATAAACCTCTCTGCTCTTTAATTAGCTCTCTGGAAAACACCATTCCACAGCAATACTCAATCTCATTTGTGGAGAGAGATAATGTGAATATTAAGCACATTGCTCTGAAAAACTACACAGTGTTTTAGAGCGGAAGTAGAACCAATTATATAAAAAATAATATTGGTAATTGGTAATGCAGTTAGAACCCCATTCACTCATTCAGTGGACACTCCAGTATATAAAGGGACAATATTTCGTGAAATGAGGGGAAAGACATATCTTTTAACACTACAGCCAACCCCTATTAAGGGGACGGTACACACGTACTTAGGGGACGGGGACAGCTTCCGAGTGTGCCAAATGGTCAAATCAATACATTTCCAACCCATATTAAGCGAAAACATTTTTTATTGTATCACTAAAGCACAATAGATTCAAAATAGCAATATTTCATTCAAATGTATACGTTGATTAAGCGATAAAATTAATAATTCTTTCTTTATCCTCAAAATGATTATCGGTATAGGCTGCTGTGTGTGTTAATATTTTGTAAATCATACAAGAATAGGTGCATTGACTTTTTTCACAAACTGGCTACACAAATAATAATGTTGGTGGATTTTAAAATACATAAATATTCTGTTACGCATTTAAAATTTAAAAAAAAATCAATATTTAAAAGTTAGAACATTATACGCTTGAGAGGATTACACTTTGTATGAATGGTTAAATCATTTGTTGAGAATATTAAATATAAAAGAAAAAATATGTCCTGATGGATTTACATTTACAATATTACCTTCGACATCATTTGCCAAATACAATTGTGTAATTTTTTAATTAGCCTACGTTAGAAATAACTACACATGTAACAAAAGTATACATAGTATATGAATAAAAATATAATTTAAAAAAATTTAGCAAATAACTTTAGAAACAGATGAAACGAAAAAAATTACAGATGAAATGATAAAATTGGACGTGCGAGTACAATAAACAAAAACATTATGTATTATGTGAATAAATTATATTAATTATTAAAAAATATTATTATCATCAAATTATTAAACGACTTGGCAACAGA